AACTCACACACACACAACTCCATTTCAAAACCAGTTGGGACGCTGTGCAAAATCTAAATAAAAACAAAATACAATGATGTGCAAACCCTATATTTAATTGAAAATAGTACAAAGACAACATATCAAATGTCGAAACCGAGAAGTTTTACTGTTTTTTGAAAAATATATGCCCATTTTGAATTGGATGCCAACAACACGTTCCAAAAAAGTTGGTACAGAGGCTGGTAAAGTTGTGTAATGCTAAAAAAACACCTGGTGGTTGATTGGCAACAGGTCAGTAACATGATTGGGTACAAAAAACATATTTCAAAAGTAAAGATGAGGAGGGGTTCACCACACTGTGAAAGACTGCACAGGCAAATAGTGCAACAATTCAAGAATAACATTTCTCAACATAAAATAGAAAAGAACTTTTGCTTTTCATCATCTACAGTACATAATATCATTAAAAGATTCAGAGAATCTGGAGAAATCTCTGTATGCAAGGGACAAGGCCAAAAAACAGTATTTGCTGGCCATAAGCTTTGGGCCCTCAGATGGCACTACATTAAAAACAGACATGATTCTGCAGTGGAAATCACTGCATGGGCTCAGAAACACTTCTGAAAACCACTGTCTGTGAAAACAGTTCGTCACTGCATCCACAAATCTCCACATCACTTTCAAAACTACAGCAATTGGTCTCCTCAGTTCCCAAACACTTACAGAGTGTTGTTAAAAAAAGAGGTGATGAAACACAGTGGTAAACATGCCCCCGTCCAAACTTTTTTTGGAACGTGTTGTTGGCATCAAATTCGAAATGGGCATATATTTTTCAAAAAACAATAACATTTCATAGTTTCAACATCTGATATGTTGTCTTCGAAGTATTTTGCTTTAAAAATATGGTTTGGTTCACATGATTTGCATATCATTGCATTCTATTTTTATTTAGATTCTGCACAGCGTCACAAATTTTTTGGAAACGGGGTTGTGTAATATATATATATATATATATATATATATATATATATATATATATATATATATATATAGATATATAGATAATATAGATATAGATATATAGATATAGATATGCAACATATGTATTATACCACTGTGTGACTGACACATATTATCTATCTCAAAAAATCCTATAATGCTTCATGTTATATCAAAAGTTGGCACAAAAAATATCTTTGCGTGGACTCCAGAAAGCACAATGTCTGTTACCATGGCACTAACATAAATGTACTAATTTAAACTCTTGAGCTGGTGGGAAATTATTGCTTTGCTCTTTGCTCAGCCTTTATTACACTGATTATTTAATTGCAGTGTGCACTGCCACAGTGTTCCATAGTGAGCTCTCCAACAGAGGTGGGTCCGTCTGTTTTGACTAAAGGCCAGTCATACTATTTCCTTCTGCTGGCAATCACATTTGCGTCCAGCTGCATGAATCTTTAATTTCTGTACAGCTCTGTACAGCTCTGTACTGCTCTCTATCTCTCTCTTTCTCTCTCTCTTTCTCTCTCTCTCTACTATTGTTACTGTCAGAATCAAACATTGTATCTCTGAAATAATAAACGTAGTAATTCTTTTTCATGCAAGTTAATGTGGCAAGATTTTTTTTTTTTTACTATTTCTGTCCAAAATGTTCACACAATGTAAATGGCAGTTGGTGTCATTGTGACGTTTGTAACACATCATTGCTTGCTAACATTTTACCTGCAGAGTGAAGCCATGTTCAACCTGTCAATACATCCAGCAGTCTAAGAGGTATGTCTGCGTATGCGTGGCTGTATATAGATGCCAAATACATCTACACAATTGTGCAGATGCCAAATTACTACAGCTACTCAGAATTCCTTAGACATGCACTCGCAAAACCTCCATCTGTGAGTCACAATGATCTTAGCAATGCCAATTTATTACTATTCTCCACCTCTCACTGCTGTGATGATGTGGAATCCACTCTAAAAGAGATGACACGCCTCAGCTGTGAGTCTTTATTAAAGCAAGGCTCTGAGACTCCTCAGGAGAAAATAGTCCATTGTGTTTCATTGAACTGACACTGCCAGCCATGAACAGCTGTCAATACAACTTGGGTGTGTATGAGGGAGAGAGAGAGAGAGAGAGAGAGAGAGAGAGAGAGAGAGAGAGAGAGACAGAGAGAGAGAATAAGTTTGAGAGAGATACGGACAGAAGATACACAGAGAAATGGGAGATAGATATAGAGACAAAGAAGAAAAAGTAAAAGAGGTGAGAGAGAAAAAGAGAGGCAGAGAGACAGAGGCATGAGAAATAGAAAAGGAAAGAAATATAGAAAGAAAGAAGCACAAAAGCACAGGAGAGAGTGAGCAAGAGACAGACAGAGAGATAGAGAGAGAGAGACAGACGGAGACGTGAGATAAAAAAATAAACAAAGGAAAGGATTGTGAGAGAAAGAGATGAAAGAGAGAGATGTGAGAAAGAAAGAGAAATGCAGTGTGTAAGAAAGATTGAGAGTATGGGATAGAGATAAAAGAAACAGAAAAGAGATGAGAGAGAAACAGAGATGTAAGGGAGAGAAAAAAGAAAATGAGATGAGAGACAGTGTGTCAGAGTTATGAAAGAGAGTGAAAGAAAGAAAGAAAGAAAGAAAGAAAGAAAGAAAGAAAGAAAGAAAGATGATGTAGGGAGAAAGAGATTGAAACAGAGTGAGAGACAGATAGAGACTAAGAAAGGGAGAGATGTGAGAGAGAAATATAAAAGAAAAGGCAAGAGGCAAGACAGACAGAGAGATTGAGACAGGTAGAGAGATAAAGAAAGAAAAGAATTGTAAGAGAAAAATGAAAGAGAGACAAAGATGTGTGAGAGAAAAAAAGAAAAAAGAGGTGTGAGAGAGATAGGTGAGAGAAAGAGAGAGAGAAGTGAGAGAGAGAGAGAGAGAGAGAGAAAGGCAGACAGAGAGAAAGAATACACACTGCATAGATGGAATTGAGACATACAAGGAATGATGGATGAAATTTTCAGCACTGGTGTCAAAAAACGAAAAAAGAGTGACAGCTAGTTTTTTCCCAAGTCCTGATTGACCACACTTTGAGTACAGAAAGCCTGAACATCATCACATGTTCTCTGTCCTGTTACCATTCAGGAGGAGTAAGGCTGCCTGTTAAAGCTGCAGTTGTACAATGTGCCGTTCGTGGGTGGTAGAAATTTCTGCTTCTGCTTTTCTGCGCAACTGTCTCTCTCTTAAAAGAGCCGGCTCTGGACCGCTGTGCAGGACTGTGCTCCACTGTGCATGACTGGCTTTTGAGACTGAATCGTGAACACCATCCAGCCAATAATTGTAGGGTGCACTGACATCCAATCATGTGACACCCAGTGCTTGTCTTAGGATTTTGATTGATAGGCAACATGTTAATATTCTCATCTCCCGCCGCGTTTGTGCTGTAAGACCACTCTCCTAAAATACTGCTCTTTGAGGACTCGATAAAGCAAATGCATGTGATCTCATGCCGACATTAAATGGGTCATGTAGTCTTCAGGGAGAGAGACTGAGAGAGAGGGAGAGAGAGAGAGAGAGAGAGAGAGAGAGAGAGAGAGAGAGAGAGAGAGGGAGAGAGAGAGAACACAGAAAACTTGACACAGATTGTCTGCTTTAATTGCAATATAATTGCTGTCTCCTCTTGCAATATATGTGTAATCTCCTGTTGCCTCAGCTGTAGGATAAGGAGTAGGATGTCACCTGGAGGTGAGCTACACTCTTAAAAATTAAGGTTCCTGATTGGTTCTTCTTGGCTTGGATGAATGGTTCTACCCCCCTAAAAAAGATGGTTATCCAAGGGTTTCTTTAGTAAAGAAAATGGTTTCATATAGAGCCATGAACACTCAAAGAACCATTAGCATGATTAAATGGTTCTTTGCATTGTGAAAGCGTTCTTTAGATTCATAGAAAAAATGCTGTATATGGTTCTATGCAGAACCTTCTATTGTTACAAGTTTGACATTTTTACAATAGAAGAACCCTTTTAGGTGCTACAAGAGACCTTTTCAAAAAGGTTCTATATAGATCCATATTCAACACATTCTCCATCAATCTGAAGAACGCTTTCACAATGCAAAGAACGATTTAAAGCGTTCTTCAGATTGACGGAGAATGTGTTGTATATGGTTCTATATAGAACCTTTTTGAAAGGGTTCTCCTATTTTTACAAGCTTGACATCGTTACAACAGAAGAACCTTTTTGGGTGCTACAAGAACTTCTATATAGAACAATATACAACACATCCTCCATGGATCCTTTTTAAAAAAGGTTCTACATAGAACCATGCACAACATGTTCTCCACAGAATCTTTTTCAACAAGGTTCTATATAGAACTATATACACAACACTTTTTCCATCTGCACGATGCAAAGAACCATTTAATCATGCAGTATTCTTTGAGTGTTCATGGTTCTATATAGAACCATTGAAGAACCATCTTTTTTTAAGACTGTAGGTTTATACGACTAAGTTTTCTAAGACTTCTACATCAAAAAAAAAAACAAACAAATAAGAAACTTCTTCACATCTCATTTGCATAGCCAAGAATAGCTCTTCTCTCTCACTGCTCCATGTAGCTATTTTGGGCACTTTTTTTTGAGTGTAGCTCTTGCAGAAGTGTGTCCACTATGAACAGGTAGTATCCACCATTCTGAGCTAGTGAAAGTAATGGTACGTGTGTAAATGTGTAAGGCGGCCTCAGCATTGCTATTTTCTCCACTGCAGTGCCAAGTGGGTGGGTGGCAGATTTTCACCTCCACTGACAATCAGCGGAGCTGACCAATGGATAGAGCTCACTATTGGGCAGCATTGTGCTACAGGTAGTCTGCATGTGCATGCTTTACTACTTAAAACACAAAACGGCGTTCCGTTCTGAGAGCAACAAGTCACTGTTTAGCAAAAAGACAAGCGGAATCGATCAGCTGATGATGTTTAAGGCACTAAAAGCATCATGAAAAGACATGAAAAGCCAGGACTCCAGCTGCGCCTCTTACCTGACTCTGAATACCGCGGTCTGGCAAGATCTCGGAAATAGTATATGAAATCCAAACAGTTCTCGTTCTGCACTTCCCCCTTAGAACAGAGATCCGTCAAGAGCTCCAGTGCTTTTTGGCAAATCCCGGCCTCTTTGTCGACAGGCATTGCCCACCAGCATGCTTGTGAATGGAGGCGCTCCTCGGCAGCACCGCACCACCACTCCTCCTCCTCCTTCTCCTCCTCCTCCTCCTTTTCTTCCTCCTCTTCTTCCTCCTCGCGCCGCAGTCCGCCCTGCTATCACCAGCCTCGGTTCAGCGCGAGCATCGCCGGCTTCTCAGTTCTCCACCTGCTCCCACTTCAAGCTTCCAAGTTTCTCGCGATACAGCAAAACCCTGTTTCAGTGCATCCCGTTGCGCGCTCGGGCTCTGGCTCGGAAGCGGCGTGTGCGCGTGCGTGTACGTGTGTGAAAAAGTGCGCGAGGCGCGGTTGAGTTGAAGCTGCCACCGGTTGAGTCCTGGCGCGCGCGCGCAGAGCACAGCCTGGTGCTGAAACGAGCGCGTGCACGTGTGGGTTCAGAGCGCTTTCAAAGCGGGGCTGAAACAGAGGGGGACAGCGCGCGCACGCACACGCAGCCCGCGCTTCGGAGCGCTGTCCGCTCGCACCGTGGTGCTGAAAGATGCGAGTGCACGCGAAAGCAAGCCCCTTACTTCAAACAGCGCTGTCCATTCTCGCTACAAACGCGCGCGACGAGAGTAAGCCTGTTCTCGCCCGTCCGCGAGACTGAACATGCACGCGTGCACCAAGAGGCGAAAGCAGCCTCGACCATTTGGTGCAGAGTGAGAGAGGGGAGAGAGGTTGAGGGGACTGATAATGATCACTAATGAAAGGGCAATTCCACCGAAATTTTCAAAAATTCTTCATAGTTTAATGGTTGAGATTTAAACAGTGTCATTCAGAGTGGTGTGATGTGAAATGGTTAATTTGTAGAGAAGCTTACTAACTCATTTCTTCACAGTGGTGGTGATAGGAACCAGGGGTCCCGATGTCTACACTGCAAATATAGCCCTTTTATTCATTTATCCAAAAACCACCAGTGAATCTACACTTGTCTTGTGAGCTTTTATATGTAATGTTGATGATAGTAAATAATGAAAAAATAAACGTTAATTTGGGGACTATTTTGTCTTAGAACACACTTCATGTATCCCTCCACCATTAATGGATTAAAATAAATTGATTAAAATACATTTTAGGCCAGAGTTTTATCACAAAACAATCATAAAACAATGTCTCAAGCATCAATCAGTGTATTCATAACAATTTATTGTAAAAACGTTCTGTAAAGGAGCTTTTAGAGGCATTAAACTCTTCAGATGTCTGGTTCCTATCACCAGTGCTGTGGACAATTCTGACTCAGTAAGTTTCTCTAGAACAAAGCATTTCATGCCAGACCACTCTGAATTACTTTGCTGATATGTCAGTCATTCAATTATGCAGAGATTTTGAAAAATCAATGGAGTTCCCCTTTAAGTCAGGGTCTCAGAGGGGAATCAAATAGAAAAAAAAAAAACAGCTGACTTCGAGCTAAACGCATGTTCCATCACTGTCATGCATTTTACATGAAGTGACGACAAAAACTGAGGAAGGGCAGCTGCAGCCAATGATCTAATGGAAATCTGCTCCATCTGTGTGACCTGCCACAAGCCTTTCACTTTTCTTTACTAAATTAATCAAAGGACAGATGTGGCTATAATCGTATGATATCAGTGCATTAATAATGTATCCACTGAATTATCCACTTTGTAAGTAGGACTGTTAATCTTGTAGAAAAAGACCTTAAAAGGTATTATTCCAGGGTCAATATCCTCCTGAGACCCAGGAATATAAAACATTCTGAATTCTTTTTTATTTCACTGTTCATTCATCATTTAAGTGTTTGGAGTAACAAAACTATTTGCAACTGTTAAAAACACTTTTTATGTGTTTATAATAGTATGTCTCCTCTAGAGAACATTGGGACTTGATACACATAAAAGCAGTTAATTGAATCACCTGGATTCTGTATTAATTACTCAGAAAAACAAAGTTTCTATTTTTTTTTTGTGATGGAGTTGAATTTCAATCACGTTTGTCTTAAACTAATAGCACAGTTCTAGTCATCAATACAGAACTTATTGTAAACATTTACAATCCAGTCTGGAAAAAGAATTTTAACTGTCATGTTTAGTAACTGGTTGAATCTTTTCTGTAGCTGCCACAAGACCTGGAATTCCTCTTTGCAAAACTACTTCAATTTACTGATATTTCTGTGATTGAAAGAACAGATATCTTCAAGTGATGGTAGATCATCTCAGTTGGTTTAGGGTCTGGATGTGATCATTCCACAACATGAGTGTACTTCTGTTTACACTTACTACTCCTGTGTTTCAGGTCATTGTCATTTCAGGTCAGGTCTGTTGAACTTAATACAATTTGTAATTTTTTGGTCCTTTGATGACAGCAAATGTTTCTGGCCCTGAGCCAGCAAAGCAGCCCCAAACCATGACGCTCCCTCCACCATGCTTCACTGTTCTGATGAGATGGAAAATACAAGTACTGAGTCCTGGTGTCCTTTACAGACTTTAAGTCTTAAATAATTCAGAATGAAACTTTTAAAAGCTTACCTGTCTTTCATCCAAAAAATATCAGTTTTACACATGCAGGGCAACTATGTTGTAGAACCAGAAAATACAAGTTCACAAGGTCCCACAACCAAACATGTAGCCCATGATCTACTATTACAATGGTTTTACACAATAAAAGTTTCATGCAACTAGTTGCAGGCTGTGAGCTGCGTGCAACATTATGTCAACTTGACAGTTACATAAGGTAATTCAGAAACAGCCAAAGCTGCATGCAGTACATTCAATTACTCCATTAGTTAGCCAAGTCAGCAGCTCATATTTTTTGATACACCACATTATTCTCCCTATCGAGTCTTATTTTCAACATTTTATCATATTTTCATCATCTTCATATGTTTGTTCCAGCCATCATTGCTGTTCTTTTTATTCTACATCTATGTATTGGTCTTTTGTCTATCCATCTAGAATTCTTTACTTTGTATTTGGGTTCTTTTATTTGTTTTGTGCATGTTAAGGCTGTTTAAGTTATTGTTAATGTTTAACTAGACATTAGGGTTATAGCCTACTTGATGTACTTTAAACACAATTTAATCAAGGATTACATCTCAGTCTCCTCTTCTTTAATAATTTTCTTTGGGTCCCAAATGAATCTGAGCTCTGTGAAAAATGAGGGGGCATCATTTCTCAAAAAGGAGAAAATGAATCTGGCTACATAAATCATGGTAACAGTGGGCTAAAGAAGAATAAACCTTTGCACAAGCAGCCAGTGTTACCATTAGCTGGTTTGTTAGCATAGCTGGTTGCAGAAACATTAGCTCTGAGAAACTGATGTTTGCTGTCATGACTCTAGAAACTGACAACATGAGAAACTACCAACTTTGAGGCAGTCATGAGGAGAGGAATCTCCACCCAGCAAACCATCTTTTCTTTATTTTCTTGTTCCCTGATCTGTTGAAATCAATGGTTTGAAAGTATGTTCTTAGCATGATCACATGATACATCACTGGAGCTTTGATTGGCTGTTTCATGAAATTTGTTTTATGAAGTTGAGATGCTTGCAACTGTTGCAGCTGAGTTTCAAATGAGTTGCAGAGTGCTTTACATTATGCAACTTCAGTGCAATTCAGTTTAATTTAGGTTTCAAGCAATTAAAGTTGCATGAAAGCTTCACCATGTAAAGCCAGGCTTAAAGAGATATAAGCAACCTTTATGATAGCATGGATAGTCTGGAACAGCTAGTTTTGTACAGCTACAAAACTGAAGTCTCCAGAGGACAAAAAGGAATGAATGAGTCTCTGAGAGATACAGAAGTGGCCAGTCTATTGCAAGCACACCACGCTATACCAATAAGAGTTCTCAGGCATGACTCCTAGTGCTACATTCACCTACCTCTGTAATAGGATTAAACTGTAAGTTGCATCTGCAAAATGCAAAAGTGAATTTGAATTTACTTCATTTGAATGACCCTGAAGCCTACTTTAACTAGGCTTACCTTTTTTAGACTGTAGTGGATTTTCAGCTCAGTGCTTGGTGCTGTATTGTCCAGGTAGGGACACAGTGTTCTCAGAGAGGGAAAAAAAGGAGCACACAAACATACACACACACACACACACACACACACACACACACACACACACACACACACACAGTCTTACACAATAGTGTCTGAAATATCTGTCAAATACATTTTACAAACATTTAATCTCCAATTTCATTTTCGCCCTCAGTGACGTGTGCATAGCGGAAAACCAGCGCGCTCCCAACTTTTCTGACCTATTGCATTTGACAAGTCATTGCAGTGTGAAAGTGAAAGTTCTCTGCGTGCTTTTTCTCCCCCTGAGTCAGGGATGGTGGCACTGCGACAGTGAAGAGGGCGCTTGGTGAGAACAGAAGCAGACAGGCCTTGAATGTTGGCAGTAATGAAGATGCATGTACTCTTATCAGCAAGCCCCGCAGTCCCTGACACCTGTTTCTTTCTCTGAGGAGAACGTGTTGCCTCTGATATGGAGGTCATCTTTGCCTGGTAAACACCTCGTTAAAAAGAAAAGCAACCAACAAAAAAGCCCAAAGAAAAAGAAAGCAGAAATTATAGATAGTCGACAATCTGCAGCACAAGCAACAGGCAGAGTTTTGGCACTAGACATACTCATGAATGACTGATTTGTGAGATTTCTCACCACTGGCCTTGTGCTGTAGAAAGCCTGCCTCATAAATCATCAGATAACCTTTGACCACCAGTGTAGCAGAGGTGTATACAAAGTACTGCAAGACAGCAAAAGCTGTTTGCCGAACAGAAAAGGGAAGCAAAGGCTTTTTAAACCAGCAGTCCCCAATTACAAAGGTTGAGCTTGCAATCAAAGCTGAATAATGCATGCCATATGCAATTTCCATGCCACAGGGTCTAACTGTTTAACACGCAAACAAGTGTGTCTGTGGGCTGTTGTCTTCTTTCTAAAAGGCCAGTGTAGGTAGATGAAACGCATAAAATTCATAACATTTAACTCCATTAAATTCATGCCAGTAATGGTAATAGTCAGTTGCTAAAGACTTTATACTGCACCATAGCAATATAAGGACAATTATAACAGATAAAACCATATAACTATAATCAGAGTGGTGGG